AACTGATTAAGCGACGCGGTAAACTGGGTCTAATTGGTGTTAAGAAGAGCTTTGAGCAGGTGAAACAATGGATTGGCGAACGTCTCAACAAGGATCAGAAGATTGGCAATGCGGTCGGCAAGCTGCGCAACTTCATAATCGAGCCCTTTGTGCCTCACACAGAGGTAAGCATTATCGATGGCATCTCTCCAGCATGAAGTTAATTAAATTATGCATCTTTCACACACAGGCGGAGGAAATGTACGTGTGCATCTATTCGCATCGCTCGGCGGACACGATTCTGTTCTATCATCTGGGCGGTGTGGATATTGGCGATGTGGATGCCAAGGCTGTCAAGTTGGAGGTGCCGGTGGACAGCACCTTGTCGCTGGCTGATGTGAAGACCACGCTGCTGAAGGCCATTACAGATGCGTCCAAGAAGGAGCGCATTGCCAAGTTTATATACGCTTTATACGCTACATTTGCTGATCTGTACTTCACGTATCTGGAGATCAATCCGCTCGTGGTGACAGCCGATAATCTGTACATATTGGATTTGGCAGCCAAGCTGGACTCGACTGCTGATTTCATATGCCGTCCGAAATGGGGCGAAATTGATTATCCGCCGCCCTTCGGTCGCGATGCCTATCCCGAGGAGGCGTACATTGCAGATCTGGATGCCAAGAGTGGTGCCTCGCTCAAGCTGACGATCCTCAATAGAAATGGACGCATTTGGACCATGGTGGCTGGCGGTGGTGCCAGTGTCATTTACTCCGATACCATTTGTGATTTGGGCGGCGCCACAGAGCTGGCCAACTATGGCGAATATAGCGGTGCGCCATCCGAGCAACAGACGTACGAGTATGCCAAGACGATACTTAACCTGATGACCTCGTCCCCGAAACATCCCGATGGCAAGGTGCTGATTACAGGCGGCGGCATTGCTAACTTTACGAATGTTGCAGCGACCTTCCAAGGTGAGTCCGAACTAGAGCCTGAACCTTATCTTATCAGGCAACTAATTAAATTAACTTACTTTGTTGTAGGCATCATAACGGCCCTGCGCGAGTTCCAGCCCAAGCTGGTCGAGCACAACGTCTCGATCTTTGTGCGCCGTGCGGGACCCAACTATCAGGAGGGTTTGCGTCGCATGCGCGACTTTGGCGGCACCTTGGGCATACCGCTGCATGTGTTTGGCCCCGAGACGCACATGACCGCCATTTGTGGCATGGCGCTGGGCAAGCGACCCATACCACAGGTGGCCAGCGTTGAGTTCTCCACGGCAAATTTTCTGCTGCCTGGCGGTCAGCAGGCGCAGGCCGATCTGAAGGCGGCCAGTGAGGCGGAAGGCCTGGGTAGGTGGAAACCCATAATTACGGAATGTGCTAACATCCTGACCCACCCAAAACAAACATCCAATAATCCCAATTACCCAAACTTATGTTATAGCTATTATTACAATGTGTCTCTTTATGTATTTATTCTTGCTATGGACTTGCATTTATTATTCTGTTTTCTCTGTATTTCTTTTGTATGTATTTGCATTGATCGCCCTCCGCTCCAACCAACAACAAATCAACAACCACACCCACAAAAAATCATAAAAAAAAAAAAAAAAACAAAAACAATTTTATGAAACGTTCGTTTGGCCAAAATCGCACCTCGTCCTCGATATGTGAACCGAAAATTTAATCCTAAACCAAACCAAACTTCACATCGTATTTGCATTTCCTCGCACCACCTCGTCGTCCTCGTAACTTAATCTTGTATTGAATGTTGTCTATATGTATATATGTATGTCAAATTCTATACTCTTTCGACTATATTTGCTCGCTCTCGCTCATCATCATAATAATATCAATATCAATGTAACGATATCGGTAACGATCGACTTGCCACTCATTTGGGGATTGCAATTTGAAACTAAACCACAAAAGCCTTGCGCTCGACAACAGCACAATCGATTAAACTACCACCTATCTCGGCAGATGAGAGCGATGGCCTCGCCACCAATAATCAACAGCAGCAGCAGCAGAGCAAGAGCAACGGTTCGAATTTGAATTTGAATCGCAAGTTCTTCTCAAACACAACCAAAGCGATCGTCTGGGGCATGCAGCAGCGTGCGGTGCAATCGATGCTCGATTTCGATTTCATATGCAGGCAAGTTCGAATTAACCAAATCCCATTATCTATTTATCTAATTCCCTTCTCTACCTTTGCTGCAGGCGCGATGAGCCATCGGTGGTTGCCATGGTGTATCCCTTTACGGGCGATCACAAGCAGAAGTACTATTGGGGCCACAAGGAGATACTGATACCCGTTTACAAGAAGATGTCCGATGCCATACACAAGCACAAGGAGGTCGATGTTATGGTCAACTTTGCCTCGCTTCGTTCGGCTTATGATTCGACGCTGGAGGTGCTTGAATTTCCACAGATACGCACAGTGGCCATCATTGCCGAGGGCATACCAGAGAATATGACACGGAAACTGATCATTGAGGCCAACAAGAAGGGTGTGGCCATCATTGGACCCGCCACAGTTGGCGGCGTAAAGCCCGGCTGCTTCAAGATTGGCAATACGGGCGGCATGCTGGATAATATATTGCACTCAAAGCTCTATCGTCCCGGTAGTGTGGCGTACGTCTCCCGTTCAGGTGGCATGTCAAATGAGTTGAATAATATCATATCAAAGGCAACCGATGGCGTCGTTGAAGGCATTGCCATTGGTGGGGACAGATATCCCGGCTCCACGTTCATGGATCACATTCTGCGCTATCAGTCAGATCCGGAAACGAAACTCATTGTGTTGCTGGGCGAGGTGGGCGGCACCGAGGAGTACGATGTGTGCGCCGCAGTCAAGGATGGACTCGTCACAAAGCCTCTGGTAGCCTGGTGCATTGGCACCTGCGCTAGCATGTTTACCTCGGAGGTACAGTTCGGCCATGCCGGCTCCTGTGCGAATTCGGATCGCGAAACGGCTACGGCAAAGAATAAGGCCCTGCGGGACGCTGGCGCATACGTTCCGGACTCGTTCGACACGCTGGGCGAGCTCATTCATCATGTGTACGGCGAGCTGGTCAAGACCGGACGCATTGTGCCGCGCGAAGAGGTGCCGCCCCCGACGGTGCCCATGGACTACTCATGGGCCCGCGAGCTGGGTCTGATCCGCAAACCGGCATCGTTTATGACCTCAATATGTGATGAGCGCGGCCAGGAGCTGATCTATGCGGGCATGCCTATCAGTGAAGTGCTCAACAAGGACGTCGGCATTGGTGGCGTCATTTCGCTGCTGTGGTTCCAGCGCTGTCTACCTCCCTATGTGTGCAAGTTCTTCGAGATGTGCCTCATGGTCACGGCTGATCATGGACCCGCTGTCTCCGGCGCACACAATACCATTGTGTGTGCACGCGCTGGCAAGGATCTGGTCTCCTCCGTCGTCAGTGGTTTGCTGACAATTGTAAGTGTACATGCTCACGATTTTTCCAAGAATTGCTTCATGTTATCTGTTTTACTGATAGGGCGATCGCTTTGGCGGAGCGCTCGATGGCTCGGCCAGGCAATTCTCAGAGGCATACGACACCAACTTGCATCCCATGGAGTTTGTGAACAAAATGCGCAAGGAGGGTAAACTTATTTTGGGCATCGGACATCGTGTTAAGTCCATTAACAATCCCGATGTGCGTGTCAAAATCATCAAGGAGTTTGTCATGGAAAACTTCCCGCAGTGTCCACTGCTCAAGTATGCGCTGGAAGTGGAGAAAATCACAACCACTAAGAAACCAAATCTAATTCTGAATGTGGATGGTGTGATTGCCACCGCATTTGTGGATATGCTGCGCAACAGTGGCTCCTTCACCAGGTGAGTGCTACCCTTAAACAGTCGACGGGTACTTTGATTTTTCTAATTGTGTGTGGCATTTGCAGTGAGGAGGCACAGGAATACATTAATGTGGGTGCCATCAATTCGCTGTTTGTGCTGGGCCGCAGCATAGGCTTCATTGGACACTATATGGATCAGAAGCGACTCAAGCAGGGACTCTATCGTCATCCATGGGACGACATCTCCTATGTCATACCCGAGCAATACAACTAAGAGCTTTTGTCCATTGATATATTACAAATTGTTGGATGTTGTTGTAGTTAGGCACAGATGTTAACCAACTGCTAGTGGCGAGCATGGATGGCCACATGGTTCACAAACACAGAACACTCCATTAGCTGTGTAGTTGAGTTTCAATTCTACTATATATACCGATATGGCTCAGCTTACCCCAGTTTGTCTCCCCTCTCTCTCTTTCTCTCTCTATCTATCTCTTAGTTAAATACATTACATATGTTTACAGTTTCATAACTAAGCCGCATTTACATTCATACTATTTACCAGCATAAAGTTATTAAGTTACGATCGTATATTGTTGACGCTCCTCTAGGCTATAGCCGGGTTTTTGGAAACTGAAAAACAAAAAATATAACAAAGAATTAGTGAAATCTTGAGCTTCAAACGACATTTGTCATTATAATTTGATATGTTTTATTACTTATTTTAGTTTGGATGCAAATTGTTTAGTCAACAATGAATAAACTGTTACAAAATGCTTAATTTGTTGATTTTATTTATTCCATTTTTATTTTGTAGTATTCCCATGCTCGCTGTTACCAAGAAGTGGAAAGTGCACTAATTAGAACTGCACCGTGTTCCTGCACTCGAATGCACATTTATTTATAACTAACGAATATACACACATATATAAATATTTATTTACAAAGCACAGGGTCTGGTGAACATTTAGAAATGTTTCGGTTAAATCGAAACTGTGATTTCCTTCACAAGGGCTTAAACATTAGCGCAGCTTTCGCTTTCTAGTTATCCAAAGTATGATCGGATTGTGAGGAGTTTATAGAGTATATATCCATTATTGGACGTCTTGTGAAGCGTTTTTGCTATATGACATAAAAATTGTTCACTCGGGCACGTTAATTAAAAGCGCACAAAATTTCACAAAACTAAAAACGATTGCATTTTCTTTTAACTTGAGACATTTGTCTCGCCATTTAATCTGGAAAACAACAAATTTGGAAAACCCGCACACATTTTTTATGCCTTGGTCTCTATTAACGACCCAGCTTTTTCTAAGCGTAAAATCTCATTTTAAACATAAATTGTAACTTATCAAGCAGCCTCGCGAGAGTATAAATTGTATTTGTAACTTAAGACCAGAGAAATCTGACTGCAGCCTAAACCATCGAACGCAAAGGAATCGCTTGCTTTCATCTCATGCGACGCATTTTGCGATCCAATTTACGCTGCTTCTTTTCGTCCACTTCGGGCTCCTCTGCGGCGTTGCGCTGCGAGAGCCAAGGCTGTATAATTGTGCCCCACAGCATCCAGGCAGCACGAACTGGTGCCAGTAGCAGCAGCAGCCAAAAGTAGTTGGAAACTAGGGCCAATAATAGCGTGCCAGAGGTAAGTATTATCAGATCCTTGACATTTCTGAAATTTACCACAACAGATTGTTAATTGATGAATGGAGCAGCTTTCAGGGTATACCTACTCCGCAATACCGCCCTCCATGTTCAAGTCATTTCCAGAGTCCAAGAGTGCGCCGCTGTCAGAGTACTTTGCCCGGGACATGAATACCATAAATTGGTAAGCGGCGCCTAAGATAAGTAGCGATACGGCCAGCATGAACTAAAATAGTTTGGACTGATCAGCATTCGTTGCTCTAGATGATACAATTCGTGTCTGACCTACCACAGTTAACTTTGTGATCTCGAAGACCAGAAAACTAAGCAATACGGCAAGTGCAGCGCATCCAATTGCCATGTTTCTATAAAACGCCAATGTTGTCTTGTTCTCCTCGACGATTTGTTTTGCGCCCTTTGTGCCCTGCTTGCCCTTCTGTTGTGGCTGCAATTTGAACAGAATTTAATGTACAATATAAAGCCGATGGTTTTCGATTACTTACAGCCATTTTTAATTTAACTATTATACTATTTATTGTTAAAAATTATGTCCAGGTAAAAGACGTGGCATGCACTTATCTTACGGTTATCGATATCAATAATCAAAAATCGATAGTCTTATGTAAATGTAAACAAGAGAGTGACCAGTTATGCCGCTGCACATTTGATGTGTGTGGCAACGCCAATGCAAATTCCTTCTCCGATTGCACCTTGGACTTTATTTTACTTGAAACTTCTTTTGATTAAAGCACGGTAACATGGAAAAGTGGGTGCAGTTAAATAATCAAGCAGCCGGCAGGGACAAAATTGCACGGCTCATTCAATATGCGTCGCGTGCAATGTGGGATTCGCTGGAGAGCTCCAATGGCCATCCGGCATTGGTGGACAATTTTAAGACCATCGAGTATATCTTGAGCACATTCCGAAAATGTAAGTTATGCCATTAATGCGTTAACAAAAACGTCTCAATTGGTTAATTATATAGTACTGCGCTTCGGCAAGGGCTTGGATGTATTCTATGCGAGCCTACGAGCCATACACTATCCAGATTTCACGATTCGGGTTACGCTGACAATGAGCAAGCTTTCTCAGGCCTTGTTTTTGCTCGCTGATCATCTATTGTGGCTCGCACGCACTGGACTCACAGCGGTGGATCCAAAGAAATGGTCAAGGATAGCCAACAAGTATTGGCTGTTTTCAATCATCATGAATTTGTGTCGCGACTTGTACGAAATAATGCGCGTTCTGGATCTGCACAAGGCCAGCTGCAGCAGTGGCATAACACGCTGCAAGATCCCGGCACGCATTAATACTCCGGCTGACTTTAAGAAATTGGCTCTGCACTCGTACGGCCTGGTGTTGGGTCACAAGGATATCGTTGTGGACACTGTGAAGAATGTATGCGATTTCTTTATACCTCTGACGGCTTTGGGTTACACAAGCCTGACACCGAGGACCATAGGTATGCTGGGTGCGATTTCATCTATGGCTGGCCTATGGGCTTTGCTTGAGCCCACAGCTAAGCTGACGCCCGCATAAGACGGATGACCTAATACTGTATTTATATATGAATTTGTGAACGTACTTGTTGCACTGTATATCTGATATTTTGTATATATGTAATTTGTTAAGTTGAAAATTGACGATTTTATGAAACAATTGATGCTTTAAGTGTACCTAAATCATTAGGAGCAGAATGCTATTAAATATTTTATTTTGTAAAACCCGTTCTAAGGGTATTTCACTGTCTGGCATCCTGTGTGTTTTGTATTCTATTTAGACGTTTCCCAACACTTAAAAATTATCGACTGTTTGGGATGCAACAGCTGTTTTGGCTAATTTTTTTTTACCGAGTTTGTTAACAAACTTTCCGTGCCGCAGTCTATGGTGCGTTATCTAGAAATTAGACTTCGATGCGTCATTGCTGAACATTTGTGCGTGTGGGCTGACAACGCGTAGAACAGTCTGTGTGTCCCAAGAGCCGCCGGAATGCACTATTCATATTCCTCACTGTCCACCGGCGGCGTCGATCAGCACAATCGCTGCCTCGGCAACAGGGCCTGGTGTGTTAAGGTAAGTGCTTGGACTTTGCATTTAAATGATCAAATTACATTAGGCGTACATTTTTTACAGGATATTTGCGGCATCGTTTGCGTTATTATGACCTGGCTGCTTATACTGTTTGCGGAGTTTGTGGTGTGCGGCCTGATACTGTTGCCAAGCTATAGAAATTACAGCCTGTTCAGTAGCATCAATATGTTTATATTCCAAGCACTTGCATTCCTGGCATTCGTCTCACACCTGCGCACCATGCTCTCGGATCCGGTAGGTCATGATGAAGTACCCGATTAATGCATATAAGTAATTGCCTTTGCTAACTTTGCGTTAGGGTGCTGTGCCTCGTGGGAATGCCACCAAAGAGATGATCGAGCAAATGGGCTATCGTGAGGGTCAAATGTTCTACAAGTGCCCCAAATGCTGTAGTATTAAACCAGATCGTGCTCACCATTGCTCCGTCTGCCAGCGCTGCATACGAAAAATGGATCATCACTGTCCCTGGGTTAACAATTGCGTTGGCGAGAACAATCAAAAGTATTTTGTACTCTTTACGGTGCGCACACAACCCGATGGAGCCGGGCCATGTGATTGTAATTGACCATGGTGTCTCATTTGCTCTTTGCAGTTCTACATAGCATCCATTTCGGTGCACACGCTCTTTCTGGTTATGACGCAGTTCGCCGAGTGCGTGAGAAGCGATTGGCGCACCTGCTCAACGTACTCACCGCCGACGACCATATTTCTGTTGCTCTTTCTCACGTTCGAAGGTCTAATGTTCGGCATATTCACGATTATAATGCTGTTATCCCAGCTAAATGCCATATTGAACGATCAAACGGTGCGTCTGCTGAGAATTTAAGCAATTATTCCGGATATTTAATTAATTATTAATTAATTTATTTGTCTGCGCCTAACTACATTACAGGGCATCGAGCAACTGAAGAAGGAAGAGGCGCGTTGGGCCAAAAAGTCGCGGCTTAAGAGCATACAATCTGTATTCGGGCGCTTCTCGCTGGCCTGGTTCTCGCCTTTCACGGAGCCGTCCTGCCGCCACAAGTTCAGCACCCACTTCTATTCGGTCTGAGCTGGATCCTTCCAAAAAGATGTTACTTACTGTAGCTTAAACGAACAATATGAATGTACAAGTCCCGCTGCCACTTGTTCAACATTCAATATGCACGCTGTGCTGTGTGTGTGTTTTGTGTGTGTCTGCGTGAATTTACTTAAGCCTAACATAATTGGACATATGTATCCTGTTCAGGTGCAACATATGTAATATACTTACAAATAGTTAATTATTTAACTGAGCGAGAGATTTTTACTTTGTAAACCCGATGAGAGCCTGCTATTTATTTTATATAGAGAAAAATAAACGTTCAATGAGCAAACCGAAAACATGCGCAAACTTTTTACTTTTCAGGTGGCAAAGATCTTGCGCTCATCTCCAAGGGTCGTGCTCTTACGACTATGTCTATAAAAAAAAAAAATAAATGTGAGCAACAAACATCGGAGAAACCGCTGGCTCTCAAGAGAAAGGCGCCCGACATTCTCCCGACAGCCACAAAATGTCGGCATGGACTTTTGCAGATGCTGTGCCGTACGTTTAGTCTGAGAAAAACGATCGGAGATCCAGGAGGTGTCTGCTGGACGTGGTGTGCGCGCCCTCAACGTCGTCTTGTATATATTATTTATATATAGAAACAATTTTTGTTCACCAAATGTGTCAATTGTGTGAGTGTGTGTGTGTGTGTTCGATTCTGTATGTGCCCATTGAAGTCGGCTGCAGTTGAAATTCAAATTCGAAAGTGCAAAAAGCTACATTTTATACATGTACACACATAATATAAATAAATATTTAGCCAGCCTTTGTGTTCAAAATAATTACGATTAATTTCATATTTTTCAGCCAAGAGAAAAGCTTAAATATCTTTGACAACATCGCTGCCTCCATGTTCATGTGCACGTCGTTCTAAATATATGTGTATATATATATACGAAAAGAAGAAGAAGAAAAATTCAAAAGCGGTTTTTCAGTATTCAAGCAATAACAAAAATTTCCAATCCTAAGTAAAAAGATTTGGTTGCGCGTGTGAAAAAGTCCTGTTACGCAGACAACGCGAACGCGTCTGTGTGCGTGCGTGCGTGCGTTCGTGTGTGCAAGTGTGCGTGTGTGTGCTACCCATGTTAAAGTGGCCCTGTTTTTGGCTAATTATATAGCTAGTCTGTCTAGCTAGAGCTAAAACATGGAAGGAACAGCGGGAACAGCAGCCGACGCAGCCGCCGTCGTAGTAGGTAAGCAGACGCAGACGACGAGGACGAGGAGTGCCGGGTGCAGGGTGCGGGGTGCGGAGTACGGGTAACGGGACAAGGGAAAGCAGACGGCTTTTAATCTTCTTTGCACAGACAATAGATTCCAAGTGTGTATATTTTTATAAACGCACGGGCTTCGTCTCCGTCAAGCATTGGCCTCAGTGCGGTTACGTAATGTGGAACTTAACGGAACGAAAGTGAACTAAAGTGAACTGAACTAAAAACGAACTGTGCACAACTTTTCATAATTGTGCGCTAAATAAACCGTTGCCAGGCATTGGGTTTTTGAATTTGAGCATAATTATTAGTAAATTAGTTGCGGTAGCTTGTTTGAAAAGTTTCTTTTTTCAAAAGACATTTGCACACATACATATACATACACATACACGTACATTAATATTTGTACATGCGAATATTTTAGTATAGTTTTTGTATGAATAATATTCAAACTATTTTTAGTGCACATCTTTGCATAGACAGGCGGCAAATGGCCGCTCGTTGCCGGCAAAGATTTGCGCATTGAGATTTGCAAAAAACAAATATGTACATTTGCGTACTTAGTTGTGGAGTCGTTCGTTATGAGAACAGAACTCACAGTGTTGGAAAGTTTACAATATATAAATTAACTCAAGGCGTTACGTAAGGTACATGGCTAAGAACTGGTTAAGGTTGTCCTATTCGAATAGAAGAGCCAATATATTATTGTATTAGAAGCAAGGAGAGAGAAAGAGTGAGGAGTATATAAAATCAACCTTATAATAATCATCCTTAAATAAATAGTTACGAGAATATAGTTTTTTCATTTTATCCGTAAGTAAAAAGGAAAGAGAGCACAATATCGGATTCAAATTAAATATGTCCGTTGGGATATCAAATAAACTGACAACAGAGTTTTTATATAAGGAGCACATTTGAACGCTTGAAATTTCTAAATACAGTATCCAAACCTAGAAATATTGTTCCTACATTACGAACATTTTACTTTTTCTTAGGTATATAAATACTTCCAATCATTATTTTATACCAAAACCAAAACTTTTTCTCATTTTCTGGCGCAGACTGTTCATTCTTAAATATCTAACGGTCACCTTTTATTTTAAGAATATTTTAGAAAGTATTTGTACCTAAAATATGGAGAACCAACTGATTAGAGTTCTCAAGCTCATTTGCCTCTCAGAATCATCTTTATTAAATATAGCGCCTATTGTTCAACTATCTAATCTTTCGCTTGTATTATTCTAGAACCTCCTGGCCAGGAAACAATGCCAGACCGATTACCACGTATTACGTTTAGTGATAACTCGAGCTCCCTGATACGCTGCATACCCAATGAACGTGCGACCTTCTTTGTGAAAATCGATTGCGATGAGGAGGATGAATCCGAATTGCTGCCCTTCAAATTTGAGTGGTAAGTCATAGCTAATAAATTATTACAAATGTGTGTGTGTGTGTGTGCAGTGTGTGTGATTCACCGGTTGTGTGCATAATGCCAAAATTGTGCGCATTTACATCAAATTTCTCCTTCACGCTTGCTCAACAAGAACTGAGATACTAGATGCCCGGGTTAACGGCGACTGCGCCCAGAGCTGAAAAGCCAAACGCTGCGGGCGGGCTGCGCTCTCTTCTTCTTCTTCTTCTTCTTCGTCGTCGTCATCGTCTTCTCCTTCTTCCTCTTCGTTGTTGTCGCAAGATTCTCTGACCAATTCGGCTCTTGGGCAATGGCAATGGCAAAGGCTGCAGAGCAGCCGTTGCGGCAGTTCCACTTTGACGATCGGCGCATTAACATATCCGTTGCCCAGCAGCATTTTGTATAAGACGCAAACTAGCTACGTATATGTGTGTATAAGTATGTGTGTACGTGTGTGCGTGCGTGCCATAAAATCATATGGAAATACGCTGCGTATACTTAATAAATTCGAAAATCAATCAAATTCATGAGCCTTCCTAGAAGACAGTGTATTTTTCTGTTGTGCGTAACAAAATGATGCATGCACAACAAAAGGCTCCAACAAATGTGATGTGCCTGTGTGTGTGTGTGTGTGTGTGCGTTGCGTGTGTGGGCCCCTCGAATTGGTGGCGATCGTCTAAATTTAGATGCATTAACAAATCAACTTGCACGGTCCGGCACGGGAAAATATTTAGAAAATGTTGTAAAGCTCTGTGGCGTTGTGATGTTTCAATTTGTATGCCCAAAATGTGTTGAAAATTGGCTTTTCCACTTGTATGGAAAATGAGAAAAATTACATAATCAGTTTGGGGTATTGAAAGAAAGTTTTGCAAATATCCGCGCCAAACAACAAGATCAAGCGAAACAAACAAAACAATTTGCCAAAAAGGCACAAGAAACAAGCGAAACATTTAAGATTTTGCATTTGCTTTAACTTAATTAAAGAATTCTCTGGTACACAGAGAACAACGAATTATTAGCAAATTCGAAAATGAAATGCGTGGCATCCGTGAGATACGCGTCCCAAAATAAATTGCCAAAATACAAAATACACGAAGAAAACATTTTTCCTTTCTTTTCTTGTTTTTTGTTTTTAGTATTTTTTTTTTTTGTCTTTTTGTCTAGTGCTCAGAATTTTCTTTGGCTTGTGTGTGTAAATACAAAATACAATTAATATAGTCGAGTCGGTTCGTACAAAGCCAAAATGTGCATTTATTTATAAACATTCTTGTTTTCGATTGAAATATTTTCGTCATTTTTCTTTTTAGATTGGTTTAGTTTTTGTTTTTGCTTCTTTTTTGTGTTTCTTCTCCTACTTGTTGTTTTGTTTATTTGTTAATAATCATAATAATGCCAACAAAAATTAATGAGTTTAGCGCTAGGCAAATTAAAGCACGTGCCTCTTATAGTAAATGTATACGCTATATCCATAATTTGGATAACGCTGGTAGACCGATTGTTAATATAAACAAACGGAAGGAGACGTTGAAAGTAAATTTTATTAGACGAAAGTTCGTGCCCAAATTGTTTATTGTAAAAATGGCTATATCCATTTACAAATAAATATAAGTATATGTAGTAGAAGGGAGACACATTTTGATACGCTTTACAAAAAGAACAAAAGCAGTTGAGCCGATTAGAGTATAAAATATAACACTGGTAATCACAAGTATGGAAACCTATGAAGTCTCTCACTTAAATTCGTGAGAATCGCGTAGTAGGGCAGCGTCCCTTTTTACCCGCTCGTTGAAAAATATAAGTCTATCCACCTTATTGCCCTATTTCCACCCATTGAAGTGGATTTCCGCAAACTTTAAGAACATTTTTACAATCAGGGTTGAAAATCGATCGGAAGAAAAACAAAAATTAGCCTTGGCTCTCAATTTTCCACACATGGGGCTTACATTTTCTGTGCGTCTACATTTATATCGTAATTTCTATGCGTTTTATTTAATTGCACAGCGTCGGTGTGTTTGCGCGTGTGTGTGTATATGTGTAAATAGAATATAAATATTTAGAATAAACATTAGAATTTATCGAACACCATGGGCAACGGATGCTCGAAATGCTGTCGTTGCTGCTGCAACGAGCACAAACAAATTCACGGCACGCTCTCCACAGCCTCTGCCTCGTCCGTTTACAGGAAAAGGTAAACCTGGCGATCAATAAGACTTTTATTTACTGGTCCACACAGATAGAAATCCCCCCTTATATATAACATAAACCATCAACGTTTCACAGGACCCGTGGCGATATACCCATCGAGAACTCCGATCGCTTTCGCATCACACAGACCAGCAATGCCGTCCAGCTGGCCGTGGAGCATGTGCAGCGTGAGGATGCTGGACACTACACCCTGTTTGCCCGTACGAAAAGCAACGAAGTTGTGCGCAAGCATGTCGAGCTCATTGTCGAGGACAGATCGACGGGCGAGGATCCACCTGTATTTCTGCGTCGCCTCGTCGATCTGTCTGTCAAAGTGGGAACACGAACTCGCCTCCTAACAGAAATACGCAGCTCAACAGACCTTAAGGTATAGTTTATGGAAAATAATTAACCCTTAGATTAGGAAAAGGGGCATATCAATCGATGTATTTTTTTAGGTGTATTCTCTATCTGGC